GATCTAAAAATATTTGAACAATTTTAATTTCAAATATCCAAAACAACAATAAGTAAAGATTTTTTGTGTATTACAACGACCTTTCCTTTTCATTCGTTCACTCTTGCAACAATTCACAACTGAAAGGTCGTCAAGGAGGAAAGCTCATGAAGTAAGCATTAGTAATTGTAGTGAATATAGGTTATAATCATGAAGGTCATTAACATGACTAATTTAAGCAGATTAAGCCTCGTGACATTTTAAAACCTGGACATTCTAGTTCATATTCAAGTAAATTTAATTATGGGTAATTTTTTTAAATAATGATGTAACTTTTTGATGCACATACAGGGTGAGTTTAACCGCTCTTCCCCCTATTTGTTTTAATATTATTATTGGGGAGTTTTCGTATTTTTTAACCCCGAGTCACGTAAATTTTTCTTTTTCGTCTAGTTTCTCTTAAGCCAAAAGTCAGGACGACGCTCCTATATGCAGGCCCTTCCTGAATTATCGCATGCAGGACATTAGTATGTCGCCACGCTGCACGTTGTGCAGAACATAGAACATATTTCTGAGTTGCGACAGAATCTCCCCGACATACACGAATCGAAGTTGCGACGAATAATTTTTTTAAATCAATGCGACGCTAATAATAGTACAACTTGCTCCCTAATAACTAATTATAAATAGTTTGAACGACAGTTACATGCACAGGAGAATAAAGTACGGTAGTCGGGGTTTATAAACTAGTAGTTTCCCCTAATAAAAAATAATATCATGTAATTAATAATAATTAAATTATAACTTAATCAGCAAGAGGTAAGTGTTGTTAGACAGAAAGTTCTCTAAACCACTGTATATAACGTATATATTTGTACATAAAAAATTCTGTTCTGTTCTTGAGCCAAAAGGGACTTAACTACTTTAAATGGCAAAATACTCATCAATTTACATGTTTTGAAAGGTTTTTAGACGCTAAATTTAACAGTTCGATCGGTTTTTAATTTGGAGTGACGCTTCACAAGTTATATATATATATTNTATATATATATATACATTTACAGACATATCATATAAAATATTACAATTATTATAACCAAAATGTCCAGTGATTTTAACAATACATGAATATCTTCTAAGGTAATGCAACATTCACTTTCTTTAAAGAATGAATTTAATTTTAATTGTACTCGTGTTTTGTTTTTGTTTTCTTCATATTTCACTTTTTTTATTATCCAAGGGTTGGATGGGCATCTGATTATTTTTCAAGTAAAGAGGGAATTTTTAGAATTCGTTCTATCATTTTTGAAAGAAAATATTTTGCAAACATCAATTAAACGCGGATTTTGGGAAATTTATTAGGAATAAAAAATCACCCGATATGTTGTCGTCAAGGTAAAACGTGATCTCGTTTTAAAGCGAGAGTAAGCAGACCAGTTTTCGATACTTATCCAAACGTTTAACACGTAAATTTATTTACCATGCAGAAACACAATTCTAAATGTCAACTAAATTTTCAGTATATATATTTCGAATATTTCATTTCAATGTTACATAAGAAGAACATAACACATTTATCACTTGTAACTGATCCGTATTGATAAAAACATTCTGAACGTACTATTGTGTCGATCGAAAGCCTGTTCTGTGTGGTCGATAAGAATGAACATATTGCACAGTCCAAAATGATTGATTGGTCCGCCTGCTCTCGCTATTTTAGACGACTGCGTTCTGAAATCTGTTTATACGTGTTATTTGGGATCTTGTCACTTTTCTTTCATATATATATTCTTATGATCATATGTATTCCTATATAAGTACTTGTACGTTCACATTGAAAAAACAGTCTTGCCCCCCACTGACAACAACACAAAGGGATTCCCATTCAAGTCAAATATGACTATACTTAGCTGAATGACGTGGTATCCCACACAAGACTTAATAGACAACTGAACATCAGACTTGGACAACTACGAAGTCTAGGAGCGAAATCTGACTTTACCGTCAAAAGCAAAATATGAGTCTTATTCACGATTTCCACTTTGAGTGGAGGGTTCTGCAAGCCATCTACCATCCAATCGTTCCAATCAAAAATACTGAGAAAAACACTAACCTCACTATCCATAACGATCTAAACAGTGCTGGTTTTGAACGAACTGATCCGCCGATTCCAATAAGTTTCACACCAACCTCTCGATCTATCCTAACAGATTTGCTCGAGCCCTCTTTTCATCTTCTCATCCCGGAAACCAACCCGCCATGAAGCCTCTTAATCGGCAATAGCCTCAAGTCCTCCTAGATCCTTAATCCCTGACACTGAGTGCCAGCATAGGCTCTTTTCTCATGATGTCCTCCTAGTCCAGCGATTGCATTAGTGCTAGTACTGTACATTTATATATATAATATACATATATATTATATCTGTACAGGGTAGAAATAAAGTAATTAATTTTTTAAAAATTACTTTGACAATTTACGTTGAGGGGTCAGGTTGGACCAACATTTCCCATAAGCATTAAAAAAAATTACACATAATGAAATAAATAGAAATAACCAAATCACCGAATATTATTGTCTCTTTAAATCTTACTTTACAGAATCTGGTCTACAGATTGACAAATTTAAGTTTTTTTAGAGGCGATTTCAAATTTTCTAGAAGACCGACTCAGTCCTAACATTGCCAAGGACTGAACAGTACTGTAAACTTATCCCCGAGATTCTCCTTTCTTTACCAAAAATCTCTTTTCAAGAGTAGTAATATTTTTATAAATTGAACAAGCCCATAGTATTTGCGTGAATGTTGCAATTATTATTTTCAATTTTAGTATGAGCTTTTATTCTTTCTGTGAGTAATCGAGACTGTCAATTACTTGTACATACAAAAGTCAAATACACACTTGTTACTGAATGTTTTGATAGTCCGATCCAGTTCTGACAATCAGACCATAAATTCTATTTTTTTATTCTCCATTTTGTTTGACCAATTGACATTTACTATCGAGAACCTGTATTCAACAACATTCGATAAATTCAATTTTTTTCCTTATCTTTCAATTTAATATGTAAAGAGCTAATTTTATACTTATATTTGTAACAAAATTGATGCAGTGGTCTTAGAATGTATAGGAAGTCAGAAGTATAAATGGTATACAGGATAGGACCAAGAATGCTCCCTTGAGGGACGCCAGCTTGTATTGGTCTTATAAATAATTACTCCTTGCCGCACTTCATTCTGAAGCAGCGATCAGCGACTCCTGATTAATGCAGTAAGGAGTCGGTAGGAAGCGTTTACGTTTATTGATAAGGCCAGAAACCAAGCCCTTATTTTTATCATGACATTATCAAAATAACATTATGAAAAAATCCGAATCGGGTTGAGGACAAGCCAAGCGAAGTAAGTTTATTTAGCCGAGTTTACGGAACATGGTGTATATGGATTTATATAAGCCCAATCTGCACATGTACGCACATATTGTGCAGTGTTTAGCCCATTAACTCTAGCAATCTACTGGCAATTCCAGCTGTGTAATTTACAATAAATTGCCGACCGGCCCCGAGAATCAACAACCCCGGTGTTGGCAGTCCGGGGTCAGACCTCTATAACCAATCTATTGCGATTCGATGGAATGCTCAATATTCGATCATCAGCCTTTTTACACTTCACATTCACGCTATTAAATACATTCCCTCTCAACGCACGTTAGGTAAAAACTGCGAATACTATACAAAACAGTCCTCTTTCCTTCAAAAACCGGGAACATTGTATATTATTCCATTCTCACGGCCTAATGTTGAAATATTACATTAACTAATTAATTAAATGTAATTCTATTTAGACTTTAACTAGAGTCGTCATTTATCAGGAAATATAGGAATCAATATCGCGATGTAGTCTAAATGTAATTACATTTATATTTATATTTTTATTATATTGGCAAGCTTTTTATTATTCATTTTTCATCATGGCTGTTTTTCGAAAAGCACAGTTTTATAAAGCTCTGATTTAAGGAAGAATTAATAGTCGAAAATTTGAGATACAGCGGAAATTGTAATTTAATTCAAACCACACCCATCGTTTTTTAATAATTAGAACATAATAAACAGAATGCCATAAAATGTAATATTTTCATAGATAATGAGCCGTATAACAAAAAAATTTACGACCAATTACATCATGTTTTTGAATGTGCAATTAATTACCTTTTGCTTAAATTTCATAACATGAGTCAGAAATGTTTGAATTTTTATTCAGTCTTCATTTTGAAAAGTATATTTCTGATGAAGACTAAATAAATTAATTTATAAATCCAAAACTAGGGAGTGAAACAACAGAAATGAATTAGAAAATTTCTTAAACTTTTCCAACGTTTATTTATTTTTAGGAACTCAGTTCATTTTTCTTTTTGAGTGTCAGCAGACGACTTTTTTTGGTAAACATGTGAATATTTCCTTTGATAAATAAAACACTTCGGGAAAGAAAATAATCAGTCTATTGGTGCATATTGAATTAACTTTGTCGAATGGAACAAGTTGCTTATGTGAGAATATAGACACAAATAACTTTTCATCAAGCAGCTAAATAATATATGTTAATAATCACGATTTCTATCATAGACTATAAACTAGTCAATTCAAAATTCAGATTATTTCTTCTGATCCATTATTATTTGATTCGATATCGCTTTTCAATTTCTCGTCTACATTTCACAAGTTTAACCTTGAACATAATAGTTTAGAATTCGAATATCATATAGTATGGTGAAAACAGGAGATTGCGATGTAAATAAATGGGGCGAGAAGGCCGGGACAGCGCGTTAAAGCTGGACGAAACCGTCCTTGGCGATCGTTCTTCCGAGCTCTTGGGCCGTTTCGATAAGGTCGAAGCCGTGATTTCTTCGCCGACGGCTTCCACCGCGTCTGCAAGAGTTTGGAAACACCCCCGCAGCCCCACCAGGGTTGTTTCCAGGCCCCTCCAACCTCCGGGGTAAACGTAGAGGGGACCACAAGGCGCTCAAGAGAAAGGAAAGTCAGTCTAGTGGTTGAGGAGCAACAACCAACTTGTCAGTTGTGCTAGCTCTTAAAGTGATATGAGATCAGTTTTACTCGCTCTCGCCGCTCTACTCCTCCTAAATGGTGAGTACAATTTTTTGAAATATATTTTTACGATCAGTGTTATACTAAGATACAGTCGAAGTTAAATTCAAAATATTGCAACATTTAAATTTTTTTTTACAAAATTTCTTACCAAAGAAAAAAATTCAAAGTCTTGAACCAACGATACCAAATAAACGGACCCAGTATAGTCGATCAGTATCGATCAATTCAACAAGTGTTCATCTACTCGCAGATCACTCGAAACCACCAATTTTAAATTTAAAACTATGATAGATGCAAAAAAATCGCGGTTTGAAACAATGAAAAAATTATTGAGATAATTATTTAATATATCTGACAAGATATATTTTTATCTGGTAAAGCACTTAATATAAAAAATTCAAAAGTTTAACAACTTCAAAAAAGGCCAAATTTGTAGATTTTTCAATTTTTTAAATTTCAAATGTTTAACGCTTGTTCTGGCTATAAATGATTATCACTAAAAATCATATTTGAGAAAAAATATTTTATTCATTTTGAAATTATCTAAAATTTTCACTCACTAAGTAATATTCCAACATATGAAATCAGAGAATTTTAGGATTTGTTTTATGCTCAATAATCAATAAGGGAAATAAATTCAAAAATTTGCCAAAATTAAATTTATATTTTTGATACCAGTCTATATAAACGAATTCACATCGATGAATGTTTATATAGCTTCGTAAAAAAATTATGAATACATTTTTAATTAATTTGTGCATTGATATCAATTCTTTATGGGTCATCCAGCATATATATTTAAAGTAGCAAAAAAGGTCTTGTAAAATATACAAAACATAAATCTGACCTAAAAAGAGAGCGCTAGGAAATTTGCACTTTTTACGCAATCGTGTATAAATTACTGTTTATTCAGTAAGTATATGTTTTGTTATTTATTACTTAAGTCTGCTTTCCAGCTTATTAATTTATCTTTCATCTTCGACTTAAGGCTAAATTCTTTGTTCTTAATTTAAATAAAACATAGTAGTATGGAAGTACTTGAGGGTTTTTAAGGTCCCCCCTGTGGCAAATTTTTAAGTATCAAGTTTTAAAGTGAACGATGTTAAAAATGAAATTAGAATGTACTAGCTGTAATAATATAACATATTATTGGCTGTTACCAAAATCACAACGATTTTTTTTATCATAATGTTTTTCACGTCTTTGATATTTTAGTAAAAATTAACAATTTTCGGTCGAAATACACTTAATTTAATTCCACAGATTTGGTGCTGAATAAAAAATATACTTATATTTGTTGAAAATATCTTCCACTTATAAAAAAAAATTTGATGTAATTCGTAAAAACCATAAAGTGTAACGTAACATAATAAAATAATTATCACTGTTAATTTTTGGATTAATTATCAGAGAGATATCACATAGAAAAGCCAAGGAGTTGAACAGCATAAATTACTTAAGCAATAAATTATGACCTGCTTTAGTCAGTTGGTTTGACATGTTGATCACCTCATTTTTCCGAAACGAAAGTAAACTACTTTAGCCTGAATTTTGAATTTTAATTTCAGCTCCTTTGCTATCTACAATTAATTTACGAAGAACCTTTAATATTGAAACTTTATAAATTCAGTAATAATAAAAAGAAATTGCTTTGTTCTTAGTAAGTGAGTGTTGCGTATGTGAAGTTTGTGTGAATATATTGAACGAAAATGATGTAAGAACAAGCAATATTGGCCATATTTGAACATTAACAAACCATAATGGTTTTTTTTTAAACTTGATTGTAATGACAGGGATAAAAGGTGAATAGAAAATATCCGTACGAGATTGTTGCTTACTTTATAAATTACGTTGGGTACGTTAAGCAACGTATCCAAAACCAGACCAATAAATAAATTACATGTGCGCCTGGGAGTTTTGAAACATTCGGCCAACGTTTGCCCCTTTACGTAAGCGACACGGTCAAAATCGATCGACACGGCCACGTTTTCTTTACAAAAATCTGATTTTGTTTGTTTTCTTCTTTTCGGAAGGCGGTGCTCTTCTTTTCGCATAGCGAGGGACGGCGAACGGTATTACTGTTACTTTCGCCCAGATGCGGATGAACTGGTTCACCTGTTCACAGTGAATTGCAATTTCAGTATAAACAAGCATCTTCAGAAGTCTACGATTGTTTTTTTTTTAAATTCTGGTCCTTAAAATAATAATTGAACGTTTTTTTAACTATGTATCCAATTTGTGTCACAAAAAAATCTCAAATCTCTCACAATATATAATTTTCAAGAATAAAGACGAAAAAAATCAACTCAGATAATTAACCACATCTGTGAAAGGATAATACACCATTTAACAAGCGATCGGTTCCGATAATTATTCGACGTTGTGGATAATATACATTAAGGAGTAGTAATTAACTAGAATTTAATTATGCGGTTAATCATCATTTTTTAACCCCCTCGTGAAATTACATGTAATTTCATATTATTATATTTATTATGTAAAAAGAGTTTTAGAGTCTTCAGCCAGTTTACATTACATTATTAAAAATTAAATATTATCGTTACTATTATTTAGGGCTACTAAACTTTATGCAAATAAACCTAGTAATGGTATAATTTTTATTCACATATAAAGAAAAGCTTTTAATAAATAATACATTTTTAATGGAAATAATATTAACAATGCGTAATACATATGTTTACATATGTATATAGGTGTTTTTGTTCAATAATTAAATTTTCTTTTAGTTAAAATATTGGATAACTCAATTATTTATTGGGTCCTAAACGCAAAAGCAAAATTTTAGAATAAACAACATAATAAATACTATTATTTCCCATTAAAGCTACTATTATTTATTATTTAGAATTATCTTTTTATATGAAAAATCCTTCTGTTTTCTCTTCCACTCCATCTCTCTCTCTCTCTCTCTCTCTCTCTCTCTCTCTCTCTCTCTCTCTCTCACTCTCTCTCACTCTCTCTCACTCTCACTCTCACTCTCACTCTCACTCTCACTCTCACTCTCTATCTATCCATCTATCTATTTATCAATCTATCGATCTATCTCTATCCACCTCACTTCCTTTCTTTTTATCAATCTATCTCTATCGATCAATTTATCTCTTTTTCTTACTCCTCCACTTTCTCAACCTTTCCCTCTTGCACCATTTATATTTATCTCTCCTTATATTTTATCCCTGTCCACGTACCTTTTCCCCCATTTCGCTATCAATCAACCTTTCCTTCTATAAATCTAGCAATATATTTATTTATCTGTCTATATATTTTTTCAGTTGTTACTATAAAAAAAAAAAATTCAAAATGATCAAATACTGTTCAAATTAATATGTTTAGTCGATTTTGGTCAATTATAGCAAATTATATTCCCACTAAACTTTTGTGTTTTTGCAGCGATATTGTAAACGATTTTGAGGGTGCAAACTGATGATGTATATTGATTGTTGTATTTTTCGGTTTAAGCGCAAATACATGAGAAGAAAAAAACGAAAAAGGTTAATGGAAGCATTAATAAAACATAAATAAACGATTTATGGAAAAATTAATTACATAAACTTGATTGCTATTGACTTCTTGTATTTAAAATATACTCAATAAGCTTTAAGTTTGTAAGACTGTTTAGCTTACATTGAAGCTTATAACTACAAAGCTTATAGAAATGTTATAACCTTCTGAAAGTAGGAAGTCATGTTTTGCGTTCCAAGTTTTACGTTTTCTATTTTATATAGAATTTAAGGGAATTATTAAATATTATAAATTAAGTATAACAAAACAATTTTTCCTGAAATAAAAATGCATGACTGTGGCACACGATGTTGAAACGTCATTTATAAAGTACGCTAAATCTACCAACCTTTTTAAATTGGCCAAATAAAAAGTAAAATAAAACAAATAATCCCTAATGGAATCAAGAAGGACAACAAAGCGGAGAAAAAATTTTGAAATATATTACTTGGAACATACAGGGCGGGTTTGGTCTCTTTTTTATAGAATGAAGCCGATCTTGACATTTAATTGCAAATTATTAATACAGAATAAGCATTTGAAGTTATAACATTTATAAAAACATAGCAGACGCATTAAATGTACCATCTTTCAGTGGATCTCCTTGCTTGCTCTTCAGCAGATGGCAGGTAATGAAAACTTGACGCCTTGATTACTCACGCGTAATTAATCCCACGAAATTATTTATAAATAGTAACGCTCATAGAATTAATGAGTTAATTGCAGGTTTTCCTTTTTAGCCGCGTGAAGGGCGTTTTTAAAGCCCACGAGGAAGTGAAAGGTCCGCCGGCAGCTTTCGGAAACTGCAACCATCTTCGTGACCTCAGAAACTGTATCGTTAGATGATTCGAGGCACTCGACGACCTTGGTGGACCGGATGAAATGAATTTATCGTATTCTGGCATCTTACCGACTTTCATTTCGGCTTGCCAGTAAAGTTGTCAGAAATGGGATGAAAGGGACTTAAAGCGATAGATTTGCACGATTCATACCGTCTCGGATCGTACTTTTTTCTAGACAAGGTTTCAGCCAACAAATAAAAAAATAATTGTCTAAGTGGTTTTTTAGCAGTTAAATGTACGGTGAAATTTACACAATCATATATATACTTGACCTATTTTCAAAAAATACATCATTCATGAGGATGTTCATAACGAAGGATATTCACCGACGGCAGAAATCGCCAAAATTTATACCCGTCACCACTAAGCAATGCTTATTATGAAATTTCTACAAGCCCGATTGCTTAAATTTTCCCGTTAAAACTGTCACATAATTATTATAAGTATTATTTGTTCATCTGCTTACTTAACAGTGAAACAATATGAAAAACAGATCTTAAAGAAAGATTTGATGACTCAGCTTTGTAGGTTAGTAAGGTGATTTTTAATCGTTTCGCTGCCTTATTAAAATAGTTTTGGATCTTTCATGTGTAAATTTGATTATCAGAGCATGACAAATGTTTTCATTTTCAGTCGGCGGTTTCTCATTACTTATCCAATCATTGTGAACAT